TATGTTGTCTTCTATCTTTCCACTCTGTATCCATGGCGATTGAGAAACATAAGCCTTTGTTCCACATATTTTCAATGTCCCAGATATCTTTGGTACTTCCCCTATAATACAAGAAAGTAAACTAGACTTGCCTGATCCAACAGTACCACATACAGCTACTCTCATACCATGATAAACATTGAGATTTATGTTTTTCAATGTTGCATTAGGAGAACATAAATCCCACGAGAAGTTTCCATCCACTAATTCAATTGCCTTGTCAGAACTACCCCACGGAAGCTTCTGTACTATTTCAGTCTGCATCTCTTCTAGTCTAAGAAATGATGCAATCCTATCCAGAGAAACTTTAGTTTGTTCTATCTTTGAAATTGTGTCAGGAAGACTGTAGATGGGCATTTGAAGAATTCTGAATGTTGCAAGTGCAGACAAGACCTTCCCTGATTCAAGTGGTATCCCCACAAGAACACAAGCACCAAACGTAACAACTGCAATAAAAGTTGGGGCGTTGTGGAAGAAGAATCGAATAGTTGCTGTGCCAGCAAGAAATTTCCTTAGCCATGTCTCTTCACTCTTTCTAATCTGAATAATCTTTGATAAGAACTTCATCTCCCATGCTTGCAGTTTTAGAATCCTCATATTCTTAAGTATCTCAGACGTAGCCTTCATTCTTTTATCTTTGAATTCCATTATCTTGCCTTGGAACTTTTCTTGCAATGATGCAACAGGATGGTTTAGCAACATCACAATTACAGTGGCAGCAAGAGCAGCTAACGAAGCAACACCCACACTTTTATAGAGAATTAACAGGGCCAAAGCAAGCTGCAAAACACACATCCATGGATCATGCATGTACCAACAGAATTCGCCAATTCTTTCAGCATCGACAGTCATTAAGTTGATGATTTCCCCAGTACTACGAAGGTCCTTTGATTGACACGAAAGAGTCAAACCTTTAGCATAGATCATTTCCACCAACATGGATTGCATTCTAACCCCAACCTGCTGAAACCTAAACATCCAGTGCCTCTGTGAAAGACACTCCACAAGCTTTGCAGCAACAAAAGTCGCAGCCAAAACATAGCCTTCATTTTTAAACATGTATTCTCCGTTGAGGTATCGAACAAGGATGTCAATAAGAAAGGGTCCAACGTAAGAAGCACAGGCATAGAGGAATGCAAATAAACCTGATAAAAAGATCCCTTGCCATGTCGACAAGAATAATACCTTCACCAGCTTAAGTGTGGTCACATTTTTAACACTACCACACTCTGACTCGAGTTTTCTTCTAAAAGTTGGATAAACCCCATAGGCACTGTCAGCAGTAGCAAGAAGTGGGAGGTCTTCATGGTTTAAAGTCTTGTCATTTCCCAGTGTTATTAATGGAGTGATCCATGAGAAAGAAAGAATACTGAAAAATCCAGCATTTGAATATCGGGTCAAATTTTCATTTCCTCTGGTCTTAATAGGATCAGAATTGTTGATTGAAGTAGAGTCACCATCCAAAAGAGGGTCTTCAAGAGGGGCAAGCTTGGCCATATTGCTAACAGAACATCCAATATAACATAGAAATAAAGCCGTAATAGTGGAACCTACGTCAGAAACAAGGCAATAAAAAGACAAGAAGAAGTAAACACAAGCAGCACAAAATTCTGAACAAACATGGGCGTTCTGATGTATTTTCAAGGTCAAATCAGAAAGTGTGGCGAACTCCTCTGAATCATCATGTTTATACAAGTAAAACTCCCTAAGTAAGCATAACAAAAGGTTGAACACAAAAATAACAAAGATTCAAACAAGAGTGTTTTTGTATAGAAAAGACCAGAACTTTGAATTCAACTTCTTGCAGTCTTTTCTCTGTGGTCGCGAAACACGAATAACTAGACTGGGTAGAGTGAAGCAGAGGAAAAATTGAGTTGGATGGTGCATCACAAAATAGCTTTTTCCATTTAAGAAACAGAACCAAGCAAGCAAGAAGCTTCCCTCATTGAGAAAACTTTATACAAATTAATTTTTAAAGATTTAATTATTTATCAATTTAGCTGCTGGATTGTATTTTATTAAATCATGACAGACTAGTTTGAAAATAAAATTTCAACACTTACGAAGACTATTTACATCATTTTATCATTTAAAAAGTATTTAAAGGAAAGATTGATATTAAATTATGGCGAATTTGTTATTTAAAGTTAAAAGAAGGTAGAGACTTGTTATTTAAAGTCAACATTTCTTTTTAAAGTAGTCGAGAATGTTGTGCCAAGATACATTTGGGGATATCATGAAAAGCAATATAAAATCTATGCATGAGCGAAACTATTCCCAGGGCATTCAGTACTCAAGCTAATTTATTTTGTTTTGAAAAAATAGGACCACTTCCTTACATGGATTACAAAACATTCTAGATTTCCATTAATAAAAAAATTCATTCTTATTTAAAATGTAGTATTCAAATGTTATCAAAATTTTATTTTATTTTCATATATACTATTCCTTTTTTTATGTAATAATTTCATAATTTATTTTTATAAAAGAGTACACCTCTGGTAATAAAATAAAAATGATATTATATAGATTCAATATTAAAATGATATAATTTTTTAATATTAAATATCAATAAATAAATTATAATTACATAAATATCATATTAGAATGTCAAATATTATAAAAGAGTAAAAATATTAAATATGTAATATCCCAAAATATAGTATTAATATTACATCAAAGAGTCATCACAATAAGGATATGATAAAACAATTATTAACTATATGAAAAGTAAAACCTTATCGTCATCCCAAAATATACTATAAAATTTAAACTTTTTATGCAAACATCCTACACCAAAACTATTTACAAACTACAGCTATGAAGATAATTACTCTGCGGTATCACCTCCATCAAAAGTCTGCTCCAAAGACACCTCATCTTCCTCTGCTCACACCCACAGGATGATCATCGCAAAGAGAGAAAACTAAGAAAACATACAACACAGACACAGGTAGAAGGGTAAGCTAGAAGAAAACCAAGTAATAATATATAAATACAATTAACAATTTCAAGTAGATCAACACAACTATATCAACCCAAAGTAACTTTGCATTTAACCCACTTGACAATCCGGATTAGTATGAACATGTAGCTATGACAGTTCGTGCACTTGTCGTGGTGAAACAGCTGGCCCACCCCAAGCTACCACACATGGTTAGTTCGTTATCACTCACCTTAGGCCAAGGAAAATCCCCTAGGCTAAGACCTCCTGCTATTCTCACGACATGCCTCACCCTTCTCTACTTGAGAATAGGTGACCATTAGAAAGTCAGGATGAACTCCAACACTGAGCTTCCCATATTCATACTTACAAACTTGAAATTCACCACTGAGAAATTCCTCCTTGGAATTCTCTTCAACACCATTTGAAACCATAAACCTTGCTTTCATACTCATATAATACTCATACATAATCATACATTATCCACAAATAAATCAATTTCATTACTCCAACCAATAAAGAACAAAGGAGAGAAGAATGCGTGATAACCTCCGACAATCGCTCAGCGCATGCACTCGCTGAGTGACCACAAACTTTACTCGCACAACGACCCAGTTCGCTATGGAAATCCACCGACAGTGAGCCAACCTCTGCAACACTCGCTCAACGACCCAACTCGCTGTGCGAATTAGACTACCAGTGGTACCAGGCCCCAACCCCTTTGCTTAGCGCCCCAACTCGTTATGCGAAAGTCCAAACAGTGGTCCAGACACCCAACTCTCTCGTTGAGAGCCCCCATTCACTGATCAAATAAAACTCACAATGCTTCCAGACTTCAACCATTCGCTCAGCGCACCTTCTCGCTGTACGAATCCTTAGACAGTGAGCCAACCTCTACAACCACTTGCTGAGCTACTTCACTCGCTCAGCGAGTCTGCATAATCTGTAGCACAACGTCTGCAGAATTATGCAACTTACTCCAAATTTACCAATTCCAACTATTTCCCCCAACTTCTAACCCTCATAAATTGTGTTATGTACCCAATTTTACTTAAGTGTGTCTCAACCTTTCTAACCTCATTCTAAAGTAATCATTAACCAATTACCCCTTCAAAACACACAATTCATCAACCTAGGGACCCAAATTTCATTCTACTATTCTTGGCACAGTTTTGAACAACTTAGGGACTCTAGAAAGCTCTAAATAACTTATCTAAACTATTATATCTGACCATTTGAGTGCCCAACCTCTAAATCAAAATTTCACTACTCCACTTCCTCAAAACTCACCAAAAGTCAAATATGAACAATGCCCTCTCTTCACTAAACCTTCTCATCACATATTTCCAACATACAATACATTCCATCACAGTACAAACATTATTCAATTCCATTCATAAACATCATTCATTAAACCACACTCAAAGACAATCAATTTAATCATAACACGTCTACTCAAAACCTAATTTCCATTCAAATAACACCATGCTCATAAATCCATCACACATACAAACAAAATAACAATTTAAAGTAAATCTAGCTTCCCTTACCTCAATCAAACTTGCACTGCTGAAGAATTAGTCCAACCTTGCCTTGCACCACAAGCAAATTTCTAGAAGCACATACAAATCACCAATTGGTGATAGGAAACTACTTTTAAAACTTAAATGGAATTAAGAATCAAGAGAAGGAGAATCCAAACACATGCAAGAGCATAAATTCTATGTGATCACATAATTAGGGGAAACCTAGGAAAGAGGAACGAAACTTACTTGCTCAAATCGAGAAATTGATTGGGCAGATATGTAGACTTTGACGTCGTGATCCCCTAGGTACATCCTGATCTTCAAATAATGGATCAAGGAGTGAGAAAGAGTAGAGAGAAGTGAGAGAACTCAAGGAGAATAGTGTTCTAGAGAGATAGAGATGATTTAGATAATGAACCGAGTTTTAGAAAATTCTATTTATATTATAAGATTATTTTAAAATAAAATACTCGGTCTCATTATTTTAATACACCTATCTACTCTAATACTCTATTTTCTAGGTTCTTACATTGTCCCCAACAACAACAATTTTCGACCTCAAAAATTAAACTTACTAGAAAACAGGTGAGGATATGACTCTCTCGAGTCCCTCTAACTTCCAACTAGAATCACCTGTTTTACTATCCTAGACAACTTTGACTAGACTAATGATTTTTCCTCTAAGTTGCTTCGTCTGGCTCTCCACAATCCTGATAGGCTGCACCTCCTAAGTTGTGAGACATGGAATACTAAATGAAAATTCGCCAGCTGGGGTGGCATGACTATCTCATACACCACTAGCCCTACTCGTCTCAAGATCTAGTAAGGACCAATGAACCTAGGAGATAACTTCCTAGCACGAATGGCTCTTCCTACACTAGTAGTAGGAGTCACTTTAATGAAAACATGGTCCCCAACCGCAAACTCCAAGGGTCTCCGTCTCTGGTCAGTATAGGACTTCTACCTACTTTGAGATGCTCTCATCCTCTCTTGTATCTGCTTTACTTTCTCAGTCTTCTGCTAAATCAAATCTGGCCTGGTCAAAATAGACTCGCCCTCCTGAAACCAACATAGAGGCATCCTACAACGTCTTCCATACAATGCCTCAAACGGCGCCATACCAATGTTGTTGTAGGTAAACTCCACCAACAACAACACCTCATCCCAGACTCCCAAGTGATCCAATACACGTCCTCAGCAAATCCTTGAGTGATTGGATTGTCCTCTCTGACTTGCCATCAGTCTGGGGATGATAAGCTGAACTCATCTCTAGACAACTACCTAACTCACTTTGCAACGAATGCCAGAATCTAGAAGGGAACCGTGGATCTCTATTTGATATGATGCTAGAAGGCACCCCATGCAGCCTCACCACTTCTCTGATGTACAACTGAGCAAGCTTTGCCATTGACATCCTCAAATTCAATGCAAGGAAATTAGCGCTGTTAGTCAACCTGTCTACAAAAACTCATATGGCATCATGACCTCTAACCGTTTGTGGCAAATGGGTAACAAAATTCATAGCTATGCTATCCCATTTCCACTCAGGAATCTCCAACTGCTACAACAAACGACCAGGTTTCTGATGCTCTACTTTAGCTTTTTGATAGGTCAAACAAGAAGCAACAAATCATGCTACATCTCCCTTCATCCTCGATCACCAGAAAGACTCTTTGAGGTCCTAATAGATTTTAGTCATTCTAGGATGCATGCTAAAATGACTCTGTTGACCTTCCTCAAGGATCAATCTCCTCAGCTCCAAATCACCAGGGACACAAATCCTGCCTCTGAACCTCAATATACCATCAACCCAAAAAAAAAAATCTATACCCTGCTTAGTACCAATTAAACCCACTAATCTCTGTAGCTCGACGTCTGCTAACTGTTTTTCTCTAATACGCCCTAACAGATCGCTCGACACCACAAGACTGCTGCACCTAATACTATCTGAATCCAAATCCACCTTCAGCCTCAAATCTCTAAAGCTTTCCACCAATTCCAAATCTCTGACCATCAATGCAGACACATGCACCGTCTTCCTACTCAGTGCATCTGCTACCACATTAGCCTTCCCTGGATGGTAAAGTAGATCAAACTCATAATCCTTCAGGAACTCTATCCACATCCTCTGCCTCATGTTTAGTTCTTTCTGATCAAAGAGATACTTCAAACTCTTATGATCACTGAACACCTGGAACTGTGCACCATAAAGATACTGCCTCCAAATCTTCAAGGTAAACACTACTGCTGCTAACTCCAAGTCATGAGTGGGATAATTCTTCTCATGAACCTTCAGTTTTTGTGAAGCATAAGCAACCACCTTTCTCTCTTGCATCAATACATAACTCAATCCCTAATAATAAGTATCACAGAAAACCTCAAAAGGTTTACTTGTATCAAGGATCACTAACACTGGAGCACTAGTCAACCTTTGCTTTAGCTCTTGGAAGCTAGACTCACACTTGTTTGTCCAAGCAAAAGGATGATCCTTCCTCGTTAACTAAGTTAATGGCGCTACAATCTTAGAAAAACCCTCAATGAAGCAACGATAGTATCCCTCTAACCCAACAAAACTCCTGATCTTAGTGGCAGACTTAGGTCTCTCCCACTGAAGCATTGCCTTCACCTTAGCTCGATCCATAGAAATACCACTAGCTGAAATCACATGCCCTAGAAACTACACCTCTTCCAACCAAAACTCACACTTAGACAACTTGACATACAACTTTTTCTCTCTCAACACCCTAAGCATTGTCCTAAGATGATCCACATGTTCCTCTCGAGTCTTGGAGTAGATAAGTATGTCATCTGTGAAGACAACAACAAACTTATCTAGAAAGGACCTGAAGATTCTGTTCATATAGTCCTTGAAAATGGTTGGAGCATTAGTCACACCAAAAGGCATAACTACATACTCATAGTGGCCATATCTGGACCTGAAGGCAGTCTTCTGCACATCACCTGTCTTAACTAGAATCTGATGATAACCTGACCTCAGGTCTATCTTTGAGAACATTGTAGCTCCATGCAACTAATCTCAAATCATCAATCCTAGGCAACAAATAATTATTATTGATGGTTAACTTGTTCAACTGCCTGTAATCCACACACAACTTGAAGCTACCATCCTTCTTCTTTACAAGCAAAACAAGAGCACCCTACCGTGAAACACTCGGCCGTATAAACTGCTTCTCAAGCAAATCTTCAACCTGCTTCTTAAGCTCCGCTAACTCTACTAGAGCCATCTTATAAGGAGCTATTGATACTGGCCCTACACCTGGTACCAGATCAATAGAAAATTCAACTTCCCTCTAAGGAGGCAACCCCGACACTTTCTCAGGAAACACATCAAGAAAATCACCCACCACGGAGTGATCGAAGACTCGAGCACTCTGATCCACTTCCATATGAGTCAACACTAGAAAACAAACTGACCCCTCTGACAACTCTTGTCGTACCTGACTCGAAGACAACAATGATATATCCTCAACCTCAGGAAACAAAAGCTTCTTCTCACCACAATCTATAAGAATGCGATCGGCAGATAGTGAGTTCATCCCTAAAATCACCTCTAACCCTTGTAGAGGTAAGCAAATCAGGTTGACTCTAAACTGACATCCCTCAACCACAACTTGACATCTAGCACCTATCATAGATGTTCTAACCAACTCGGCTGCTGGTGTAAACACCATCATGTAAAATTGTAGTTCTCCCACAGTCAACCCCAACTTCCCAACACATTCCTCAGAAATAAAGGAATGTGTTGCCCCCAAATTAATAACACACAACAAGATTCTCCAAACAATTGGCAAGAACCAATGATGACCTGAGCTAGCCGCCTCTGATCCCGTCAAAGCATAAAAACGACCCGTTGCCTAAGGTGTAGCACCACCTCTCTGCTGAAATCTCCCTACTTGAGATACTTGTGAACCGACTCTCACAGCCATAGGGTAGTCCCTGTCATAATGCCCTTCTCTATGACATTTGTTACATCTCTTGTAACCCACCATCTGAGGACAAGCTGACCTTAGGTGTGGTCCTCCACAGGTAAAACAACTTACAAACTCCTTCTGCCAAAAATGACCAGAGGAACCAGATGATTGAGAAGAAAAACTCCTAGGCCTATGAGAGCGGGGTCTAGAATAAGGAGTCCTCTTGACACCAAAATTGCCCTTGGACTCAGTGGTTGACTCTTATTGCTATCCACTTTTCTCTTGGTCTTTGATAACGGTTGAAAATATCGTTATCTATGATATAATTTTGATACTAAACGCACCCTTTTTGACTTAGAAACTTGCTTGAACTCATGTTTTTGCTTTAGTTTTGTGAATAAGTGAGTAGATGTTATACTTTATGATTTTATCACTAAATTCCCTTTATTTTGTAGCTAATAATGTGCTTGGAAGAATCTCCAACAATATATAGAGCTTTATAGAGCTGAATCAGCCATAAAAGCAAGCAAAACAACAAAAAAAAAGTGAGTTTTGGAATGCTACCACAATGGCTGAGCGCCCCTAAGCGGGGCTGAGCGCTAGTTTGTGTAGTGCAGGGCGCCTGGGAGCAATCTTTTTCCCGTACACCGCCTGGGCGCCTTAAGTGGGGCGTTGAGCGCTAGCAAAGTGGGCTTGGACCTGCTTTCTCTAATTTTTATGTTCTATTTAAGGATTTGGACGTCCTAGGGATTATGTCTTTCGATGGCTTGAGCACAAAAACACACTTTTAACCCCTTAGAGGTAGATTTGAGGATGTAACAACTCTCCTCTTCTCTTTCTAGGGTTTTTCTATCTCTTCCATTCTTTCATTCCATTGTTCATCTAGTTTTTCCATGATAATGGAGAACTAAACCTTATTTGTTGTTGGGAAAGATGTAACCTCTTAAACTCTCATGTATTTTGAATTGATTATGATTTACATATGCTTCTTTCATTAATTGTTAGAGTAATTCTTCTTCGCTCAATGCCTGTTATGTTTAACTCATTCATGGCATGATGTATGATTTGTATGAGTACCAAGAGGTATCTTACAATTCATGTTCTGGAGAATTGCTCCCAAAAGCAGTATTGCTCAGGGATGGGGATATGAGTTTTGGTCGTCTTAAGCTCCTAATCGTAATGCAGAATTAATTATTAGGGATGCAAGGGATTATGGTATAGTAATTAAGAATAGGCTTTCTTCGCCGAGGGATCGGGTTTTAAGTAATTTAGAGAGTGATCTTAATAATTGAATGAAGAAGACGAATTCATATATGCATGGGAGTAAACTAGGTGAAATCTAAACCCCAACAAGATATTCATCTCATATTTTCAACTTCATCCATTCATTCTAGTGTTTAGCTTCAATTGATCAATTTGCATTCAAAAACCCAAAATTTGTTCTTCTTAAGTCTTAATTAGTTAAGCAATTATAGAATTGTTTAGTGTCGTGAGTCTCTTGGTAAACGATACTTGGTCTTACCACTTATTATTACTTGATACGATTCGGTACACTTGTCGATATCTTAACAAGTTTTTGGCGCCGTTGCCGGGGACTTGTGGTTTAAACTATACTTTTGTGTGATTCTTAACCGATTAGACTTTATCTTTAATTTTTATCTTTTTATCTTTTTATCTTTTTATCTTTTTATCTTTTTATCTTTTTATCTTTTTATCTTTTTATCTTTTTATCTTTTTATCTTTTTATCTTTTTATCTTTTTATCTTTTTATCTTTTTATCTTTTTATCTTTTTATCTTTTTATCTTTTTATCTTTTTATCTTTTTATCTTTTTATCTTTTTATCTTTTTATCTTTTTATCTTTTTATCTTTTTATCTTTTTATCTTTTAGTGCTAATTGGGTGCTCTAGTGCAGTGTTCTTTAGTGTCTGCAGGATTGATAACAGTTGAAAAACTGTTATTTTTATACTTAATTTTGACATCAAAAACAACCTTTATGACTTAGAAACTAGCTTGGAATCATGCTTTTGCTTATATTTTGGAAATAAGAGAGTTGGATGGGTTTTATGCTTGGTTTTCCTTGTTTTGTAGGAATTGAGATGAATTAGAGGAAAGAAGTTGAAGTAGTATGGAGCTGGACATAAGAAAGGAAGTGAAAGTGCTCAAAAGAAGAGTCGCAATCACCGCTCAATGCCACTTTTACCACTGAGAGGCACTCTGAAGTCTCGTAGTCAACGCTGAGGGGCAAAACTTCAGCTAAGCGTCAAAATAGAAGAACCACACTTACCGCTGAACGCTAATTACCGCCGAACGCCATTTAGTTTGGGCTTAGGCCTATTTTCTGTAATTTTTAGGAATCTATATAAGGTTTTAGCCGAATTAGGGTGATCATCTTTGGACAAAAAGAGGCGAAATCGCACTTTCTTCACTCCTTGGAGGAGGATTTTGGATGCTCAAGCTGTATTCTTAAACTTCTAGGGTTCTATCTTTCACTCTTTCATTGTTTTTCATCTAGTTTCACCATGTCTATGGTGCACTAAACCTTCATTGTTGTTGGGGAACCGATGTAATCCTTTGAAACTCTCATGTATTGAATTGGTTCTATATGCTATATGCTTTCTTTCATTAATTGTTAGGGTTTTTCTTCTATACTCTATGCATGCTTTGTTTAACTCATTCAATTGCATGATCATTGATGTTATTTGTATGGACACATATAAGTAAATCTAGAACTGAAGAAATTCTCCCAAGAGCAATATTGCCTAGACATAGGGATAGGAGGATTGGTTGCCTTTAAGTTTTTGTGCTAATGTAATGCATGAATAATTGCAAGGGAGACAAGACATTTTAAACTAGTGATTAGGAGTAGGCTTTCTTCACCGAGACATCGGGTTTAAGGTAAATTAGAAAGTGGCATTAACATTAATGAAGAAAGATGAATTCTTGAATACATGAGAGTCGATAGAATGAATCGGAAACCCCAACAACATAATCATTCATATTATACATCAACTGTTTTTGCATCTTTCAAGTCCATTGATCAAAACTTTGCATTCATGTTTATTTTTCATAGTTCAACAACAATATTTTCGGTTACAAGTCTAAGATAATCAACAAATCACATAACTGTTTAGGTCGTGAGTCTTTTGGGAAACAATACTTGGTCTCACCATTTTATGATTACTTGATACGATTCGGTACACTTGCCGAGGGTTAACAAGGATAAAATCCGAAAATCTCTACTAGGAGCACAAGATCATCAAGAGAAGAAGGTTGAAGAAGGTCGCAGGACGCTTGGCTGCCCCTTTAAGGGCCCTCAGCGCAGGATGTCACACATCATCGCCTGGGCGCCCCATTAAGGGCGCTGAGCGCTAGCATCAAAATCTTTGTAGATGAAGAAGGCAGATAATGAAGAGAAACTAGTTCACCAAAACTCAGTGCGTGAAGTGGTTAAAGATATCAAAGGGAATGGAGTTATTGAGATTGAGGCTCCTTATTTAAGGAGGGTAAAGATGGTGAACAGGAAGATGCTGCAAATAAGTTGGTGTGATGAAACCAAAAGGAACACCAACATCAAAGATGTGGATTGTGGTTAATGGTGTCAGGCTCGTGATGTTAAACAAGCGCTTATTGGGAGGCAACCCAATTTCTGAGTTTTTCTGTTTAATTGATTATTTGTGTGGTTTGGATTGGATTTTGCTTTGCAGTAATGATAACATCTACTAATGGATGCTGGACAACATCTATTGAAGGATGCTAGGAGGACTCAGATGATAACATCTACTGATGGATGGTAGGATGATTTAGATGAGAGCATCTACTGCTGGATGCTGCTATGAAGAGGAACATCTATTAATGGATGCTACTAGATTAAAGCATCTACTAATGGATGCTATGATGATGAAGATTCAAATGAGAGCATCTACTGATGGATGCTACTAGATTAAGCATCTACTGATGGATGCTATGTGATTAAGCGTCTACTGATGGATGCTATTGATGACATCTACTGATGGATGCCAATGAAGATGAGAAAGATCAGCATTTACTAATGGATGCTGATCAGAAAGACTAGACATCTACTGATGAATGTTACTGAGAGCATCTACTGATGAATGTTGATGTGAAGGATTTGCATCTACTGATGGATACTGAAAGATTCAGATGAAAGCATTTACTGATGGATTCTGCTGGATCAGGATTTTTATGTTTTTATTTATTTTTATGCTTATTTGAATTTTGTTTATTTTGTTTTTATGTTAGCTTGCTTATGTACTTGGTTTAATGAATTGTGCTGCAGTGGTTTTGTATGATGTGATAAACTGTTGTTTGTGATGAGTACTATTCTTTTGTTTGCTCTATTGTTCTATGATGCATGTTGAGTTAATGAATGGTGGTTGCTCATAATTGTTAAAAACAGATGCATAGTATCAATTATGATTAATATGCTAGGCAGGATGTTTATCAAATTGTGGAACTTGATTTAACCTGTGACAGGTTGGACTCCAAAGTCTTTGATTGATTGAATGCTATTGCTTTGGAAGCATGATTGAATTTGCCTAATTTTCTATGATTGAACCACTTTCTTGCTTGTTACATATGATCAAGGCCATGTTTTCTTCTCCCTTAGAGCTAATGCCAATAGGTGAACCCAACCAAGAACAATGTTTCTCTTAACCTGTTGAACCTTGAGCTTAAAGTTGAAAGTGGAAAAACCCTTTTTGAAATTCTTACCTTGAGTTAAGTAGACTATGTTTTGGT